ACCTGAACAGAAGTTTCACAAGGGTGGAAATCCAAATGGCCAACAAACATGTGAGAAAATGGTCCCGATCATTAGCCAAAAGAGAAATGCAACTATGAGATACCACCTAACACCCTCAAAGATAGCCCAATTCAAAAAACAGAAAGCAACAAGTGTTGGAGGGGCTGTGGGGAGATAGGAACTCTCATCCACTGCTAGTGGTCCCGTAGGTTTGTGCAGCCACTATGGAAATCGATGTGACGATACCTAAAACAGATGGACATCGAGTTACCATACGACCCAGCAATTCTACAGGACATTTACCCAGAAGAGGTAAGAAACAGACCACAACAACACATCTGTGGTCCAATGTTCATCTCAACACAGCTCACAATTACAAAGAATTGGAAACCATCTAAATTTCCATCAACCAATGAATGGATTAAAAATGTCTGGTATATACATACAATGGAGTACCACGCATCGGGAAAAAGCAGTGATGAATGCATGGAGCACATTTTCTCATGGGAAAAGTTGGAGGAAATTATGTTAAGTAAAGTAAGCCAAGCACTAAAGGACAAGTACAACATGAGCCCACTGAGGTAAGCTTAAAAGGCTTAAGGGGAATAGAGGAAAAGCCACCAAATGCATAAAGGGCGAGGTCCAGGCACTCTGTGTCAGGGGTCAGAGCCAACCCAGGATACATATGGCAGCCACTTCAAAGGAGTGGAAAGGGACCAAGTAAAGGGAGGGCGTGGGAAGTGGGGGAACAGGGTACTAAGCCACACATGGGGAGGGGATTGTTCATGTGTCCACAGGAAAGCAAGAAAGGGACAAGACCTCAACCTGGCCCCACCACAAGATATAACAAACCCTCACTGACCCACCAAGCCTCGAGCGTATCCTACCAGCATAAAGTAGTGAACTAAGGGAAAGGTCTGCAGGGCTGGCCCCAGTGCCAGCTACATGGACCGCCTCCCCAGAACAATGCACTACAGAGGACATCACCGAAGATACAGCCTGGGGAGAGTGGTGGGTCTGCAGATGACACAGGAGCAACCTAAGAGGGAAAGAGAGAGAGCATGGACTGACTGCAACCTGGCCCACCAAGCCTCGAGGATGACATGCTTGCTCAGAGCAGCCAATGCACAGAAGAAACCATGGGGCTGCCCCACCACAAGATATAACAAACCCTCGCTGACCCACAGTGCTACAGGGGAGAGCAATGGAGACACAGTGAGTGTATTGTGCCCGGTCTGACCCCCACCACACCAAAGTGAAACACAAAGGGAGTGCAACAGAGCAGCAAGGGGAGCAAAGTAATGAAGTTCCCGAGGAACCCCGAAAACAGACTTCAGGAATCGGTGGGAAGATTCTGTTGGAAGACAAGCACAAGCTTCAGCAGAAAGACCTGGAACTATTTACAGGCTCTCTCTCTCTCTCTTTTTTCTCATGTCTATCTATATAAGATAGGTAGGATAACCATTCCCGAGGAGAAAATAAAAGGACGACAGCTCCAGCGGGACATGGGAGAGGAGGAGGTAGGCAACAAACCCAGGGACAAGGGAACAATAAGAGAG